ATTTCATTCTCAGAATTTAAATTTCATGTGTTGTTATCATATGTTTTTTACATCATCAAGTAAATTGACTTGCAACAATACATAAGTCTTGAAATATTTATACAGTAGGTAACTAGGTTCCGATTGTTAGAAAGATTACGTAAAAAAATTCATTTTAAAAATATTACGTCCAACTATTTAGAAATTTGTTTAATAAAATATTTAGTACGTATGTACGTTATATACAATGCAATTCACATTTTATACAATGTACATAAATGCTGGAAATTTAGTGAAATTACGTAGGCGTTTAGTTATGAAAATAAAAATAATAATTACTTAATTTGAAATTTCTGAAGTTGGAGTTGTATTTGGCCAACGTTTTACAAAGAATATTTAGAATTTGAATATATTTTGTCCAAATATGATTTAAACCCTCAATTTCTAAAATTAGAAAATCACCCAACTTGACTAGCTTTACCATGTGTACATATATTCATTCAACTTGGCACATTTTATTGTTGGTGACGTGAGTTTCTTAAAATAAAAATAGACACAAGGATGAATCTTGCAACTTTTTGGATAGTGCAAGGATGTCTTTTGTTCACTTATATAACACAAGGATGTACTTTAAGTTTAAGTCATACTTTAGGGATGATTTTTGCCAAAAACTCACAACATATTTAGCTAGCGTTTGGCAATATATTTGAGGAGTAGTTTTTGAAATTTTATCTTCAAATATTTTTTATCAGATTATATTGGACCTACTTGGAATTGCTTGTTAGTGAATCTCAAAATATGACATAGATAGAGGAACGAAAATTTTATATATGTCGAAGGTACCATCCGAGACCTTCTTTCCAAGCAACCCTCTTACGTATTACAATATAGGTGTTTTTCATATTGCCTTTAGCGGAAAATGGAAAATTCATCTCCATAGCAAGCTCCATAGATTCTTTTTCGATAAAATTCTAATTTCATTTTGCCTTTTTCGATTGTCAATCTTGAACGACTCGATTCTTTTTCCTACCCCTATCTGCTAGGACTGGTCTAAATGTATGGGATCGATACATCGATAATGAGACTCCTTTTCAAAATATACACCACATATTGAGCTAGTTGATGAATGTTGCAATGTTATTTTTAAGAGAAAGTATTAAAAATAGCAAACATAATAGACATAATAAAGCTCTATAGCTATAGTTTCGATAATTGTGTTCCATAGCTATAGTTCTGTTTGCTATGAATGCTGCAGTTTGTATATTTCTGTCAGTTTGTATATTTTGCTAACGAATATACAAATAGGATAAGTATATACAAATCCTATAATTATACATTTAGAAATTTTTCAGAACTCCGTTTATATATTTTGCTTGTCAATATACAAACATGGTAATTTATTGTGATTTTTTCATAAATCGTATACAAATAGCTAGGGTAAGCATATACAAAATTCTTAATTTATACAATTAGAATTATACAAATTCTGAATTTATATAAATTAGGCAAATAACAATAATTGAAGAAACTGTAGCCGCGAATTATAATTTTCTCAAACTGCTATAGTACCTAATATAAGCAAAATGTTTGCTATTCTGCATAATTTTTCCTATTTTTAACATAATGAAAGCCTAAATAGTTATAGGAGCCAAAATATAGAGTGTCTGAACCAAACTCCAAAAATGCATGGGCCAACATATGTCCAAAATGTACATAATCAGGGCCTACTTTGAGCCCATTAGCATCAACTGTTTTCTCATTATGAAGATGAATTCCCAACTGGGCCAGTCTTATTTCCTTCTTATAAGGCCCAATTGTTGTTGTCAATACCACCTGTGGATCCACAAACAAAGCCCAAAACATAACGAAAGATCCGAATAAGCACCTCGTTAGCGACGTAAATATATTTTAAAAAAATTACTAATATGAAGAAGACATTCCAATTACGTGAATAATAGGTAGAGCAGATGCATCCAAGTTATTTCACACATCAGTGAAGAATTTCTCCAATCTTGATTTATATAATGGGAAAATTGTATATAATAGCAAACTATTAATTCAAATTAAATGCTATAAATATAGTTTGATTTAATTGTACTTCATAGCAAACTGTTGTTATTTCACCTCTCTCCTGGTGAATCTCGCTCGCCACTCTCGTTCTCTCCCTCGCCTCTCTCGTTTTTTATACAAACGCAAGTGTATAAAGTGTGTTTGTATTTGTATAAAGCGAGAGAAAATTGTATATATACATATATTTTCGTTCCCCTCTC